AGAGTTCCAGTTCAAGTCCCCTTCTGATCCAGCTTCCTGCTGATGGGCTGGGAAGACAGGTGAAAATGGTGCGAGTACTTGGGCCCCTGCCACCAGTGGAGAGACCTGGATGGAGTTTTCAACTCCTGGCTTCAACCTGGCCCAGACTTGGCTGTTGTAGTTATTTGGGGAGTGAAGCAGAAGATGGAAGAACTCTCTCTGTATGTTTCTCCCTCTCTGTCACTCTGCTACATGACAGCCAGGGTGGGACCAGGTCTAAGCCAGGAACCTGTAATTCCATCTTGGTCTCCCACATGGTTGGCAGGGATCCAGGGACTTAATCCATCTTCAGCTGCCTACCCAGGTGCATTAACGGGGAGCTAGATCAAAAGGGGAGCAGCTGGCACTGGAATTGGCACTCTGCTGTGAAATGCCAGAGTCACAAGTAGGGTCTTCACTTGTCGTGCCACAGGGCCGGTCCAGATCATTCATTTCTTAAGATCTGATCTTTTTTATTTTTTTAAGATTTATTTATTTGAAAGAGTTACACAGAGAGAAGGAAAAGCAGAAGCAGAGAGAGGTCTTCCATCCACTGTTTCACTCCCCAATTGGCTGCAATAGCCGGAGCTGTGTAGATCCGAAGCCAGGAGCCAGGAGCTTCTTCTGGGTCTCCCACGCGGGTGCAGGGGCCCAAGCACTTGGGCCATCTTCCACTGCTTTCCCAGGCCACAGCAGAGAGCAGGATTGGAAGTGGAGCAGCCAGGACTCAAACTGGCACCCATATAGGATGCTGGCACTGCAGGCAGCGGCTTTACCCACTGTGCCACAGCACCAGCCCCGATCTTATGTTTTACCATGACCCTGCCTACTAGGAATTTTCCATACAAACAGAAGAGGACCTGAATGATTGTTATAAGGCATACTTAAGTTAATCTCTAATAATTTAAAACCTCAGTTGAGAATATCTAGAATTTCTGTCTCTTGAATAACTAGCTTCTATAGTAAAATAAAAGTTAATTTGGGGGCCGGCACCGTGGCTCAATAGGCTAATCCTCCGCCTGCAGTGCCGGCACCCTGGGTTCTAGTCCCAGCCGGGGCGCCGAATTCTGTCCTGGTTACCCCTCTTCCAGGCCAGCTCTCTGCTGTGGCTAGGGAGTGCAGTGGAGGATGGCCCAAGTGCTTGGGCCCTGCACCCCATGGGAGACCAGGAGAAGCGCCTGGCTCCTGCCTTCTGATCAGCGTAGTGCGCCGGCCACAGTGGCCATTGGAGGGTGAACCAATGGCAAAGGAAGACCTTTCTCTCTGTCTCTCTCTCTCACTGTCCACTCTGCCTGTCAAAAAAAAAAAAGTTAATTTGGAACAATGCTGACAGTATGTATATGTGTGTCTTAAAGCAGTTCATTAGAATTTTTCAGAAATGCCAGATTTGTTGTTTGACCACTGTCTGAAAGACTGGGGCCAGAGTTCAAGGTGAAGGCGCCGGAAGCTTTTGGTTTAGGTGTGAGATAGCAGGCGATGCATTCTCTGTTCTGTTGTCTCTGATTCCCTCAAGAGTTTGCACATGGACTCTTGATAGAGTTCTTGTCAGCTTTGATGAGGCTGTATTTGTGTCCTTTAATGTCCAGAAATGATGAAGCTTCCATTCTGACTTTGGCCAGCTATAACGTGATGAATGAGAAGTGGCAGTACCTTGCTCTGTGGACTGGAGTGCGTGAGCACACCAGATCACTCCCTCCGTCAGAGGAGACAGGAGAAGAGCTGGGAAACGCTGTCCTTTAGCCGTGAGGGTGCTGGGCAGGCTGTTGGTGTGCTTGTTCCAAGGGGCTGTTGGTGATTGCGGCCTTGGGTACTGTGAAGTGGAGTGGGGAATCCCATTTTCTCCTCTGTCCTCCTCCCACACACCACTGTCTGGCTTCCTCCTCTGCTTGATAATCCTATTTTAAGCTCCTTAATGCAAAGTGGTAGGCTCTCAGAAGACTATAGAAATTATGTCTCTGACGCTGGGTGATTGAGTAATAGCAGTAGTACTGTCGTGATGTCAGTAGAATTCATCTCATCTTGTCTGAAACATAATTGAGTAAGTTAAGGCTCACACAGGTCTCAGGGTCCATTATCTGTTTCTCAAGAGCAGACTCACACATGCCCACTGTTTGGTTGTTTTCTCTCTTCTGAGTTTGTTTTTCTAGCATTCTTTAATTTCAGTTTCTTATTTCTAATATAAAGAGAAAATGATGGATTTTTTCTTTGAGATATTATTTCTGATACTATAAAAGTTTGGAATAAACTGGCTAGTTGGTTGTGTGTGTGTACAGTGTGGGGCTGCCGGTTGGTCTTGCCCAGTAATTGGAGCTTATTATCCTTACCTGCTCATTTCGCCCCAAACCTTGAGAGTTGTCTTGATTTTTAGACCTGGTCCTGGCTGTTGCAGCCATCTGGGGAAGTGAACTGATGATAGGTGATCTGTCTCTGTCACTCTTACTTTCAAATAACTCAATAATTTTTTTAAAGATTTATTTATTTGAAAGAGTTACACAGAGAGAGAAGGAGAGGCGGGGGGGGGGGGGTCTTCTATCCGCTGGTTCACTCCCCAATTGGCCGCAATGGCTGGAGCTGTGCTGATCCAAAACCATGAGCCTGGAGCTTCTTCCAGGTCTCCCACATGGGTGCAGGGGCCTAAGGACTTGGATCATCTTCTGCTGCTATCCAAGGCCATAGCAGAGAGCTGGATCGGAAGTGGAGCAGCCGGGACTTGAACTGGTGCCCATATGGAATGCCGGCACTGCAGGTGGCAGCTTTACCTGCTACGCCACAGTGCTGGCCCCAGTAAATAATTTTTTTAAGATTTATTTATTTATTTGAAAGGCGGAGTTAGAGAGAGGGAGAGATCTTCCATCTGCTGGTCACTGCCCAGATAGCTGCAACAGCCAGTTCTGAGCAAGGCTGAAACCAGGAGGCAGGAGCTTCTTCCGGGTCTCCTATGTGGGTGCAGGGGCCCAAGCACTTGGACCATCTTCCGCTGCCTTCCCAGGCACATGAGCAGGGAGCTGGACTAGAAGCAGAGCAGTTGGGACTTGAACTGGTACCCATAAGGGATGCCAGTGCCATAGGTGGCAGCTTTACCCACTATGCCACATGCTGGCCCCAAATAAACCTTTTTTTTTTTTTTTTAAAGATTTATTTATTTATTTGAAAGTCAGAGTTACACAGAGAGAAGGAGAGGCAGAGAGAGAGAGAGGTCTTCCATCCACTGGCTCACTCTCCAATTGGCTGCAATAGCCGGAGCTGTGCTGATCTGAAGCCAGGAGCCCGAGCTTCCTCCAGGTCTCCCAAGTGGGTGCAGGGGCCCAAGGACTTGGGCCATTCTCCACTGCCTTCCCAGGCAATAGCAGAGAGCTGGATCAGAAGTGGAGCAGCCGAGTCCTGAACCGGCGCCCATATGGGATGTCGGAGCTGCAGGCCAGGGCATTAACCCGCTGCGCCACAGTGCTGGCCCCCAAATAAACCTTTTTTTAAAAAAAGTTTTGTGAGGGGGTGGCGCAGTGGGTTAAAGCCCCAGCCTGCAGCGCCAGCATCACATATAGGTGCCATTTTGAGTCCCAGCTGTTCACTTCCAACCCATTCCTTGCAAATGTACCTGTAGAAGCAGCAGAGGATGGCCCAAGCCCTTGGGCCCCTGCACCCATGTGGGAGACCCAGAAGAAACTACTGGCTCCTGGCTTCAGATAAGCCCTGCTCTGGTCATTGTGGCCATTTAGGTAATGAACCAGTGGATGGGAGACTTCTCTCTCTCTCACTGTAACTCTGTCTTTCAAATAAAATAAATCTTTTAAAAAAAAAGTTTTGTGAGCAAGTACAAATCCATCTTAGCACAGTGTTTGTAATACACGTGGTCTTACCCAAGAGCTGTTTCCTTTAAAAAGTACCATTTAGGAATTTTTACTTACATAAATTTTAAATACAGTTGGTGTGATTTGGTTTCTAAAATGGAACTTGAGTCCCTCTAGTGGGTGTTGTTCACCTTCAAAGTTTGAAATAGAAAGGAAAATGTGAATCTTGATTTTCATGGAAGCAGCTTTCAGATCCGTTCTTCTCGCCAGTGCTGGCCTTTCCTCTCCAGCTGGAGGCGTAGTTTGCGTGGCCCTGGGCCTCCCTGCTGTGATTCACTGGCGGCTTTATGTCACACGCACAGGCCTTTGTGGCTTTGAGGCTCCATGATCGGTAGCAGAAGCCATGGACCCTTTCCTGGACAAGTCCACTGTCATGCACAGGATTTTTTTTTTAATTAATTAATTAATTTATTTATTTTTTATTTAGTAAATATAAATTTCCAAAGTACAGTTTATGGATTACAATGGCTTCCCCCCCCAATAATTTCCCTCCCACTCGTAATCCTCCCATCTCCTGCTCCCTCTCCCATTCCATTCACATCAAGATTCATTTTCAATTATCTTTATATACAGAAGATCCATTTAGTAAATATTAAGTAAAGATTTCATCAGTTTGCACCCACACAGAAACACAAAGTGTAAAATACTGTTTCAGTACTAGTTATAGCATTACTTCACATTGGACAACACATTAAGGACAGATCCCACATGAGAAGTAAGTACACAGTGACTCCTGTTGTTGACTTAACAATTTGACACTCTTGTTTATGGCGTCAGTAATCTCCCTAGGCTTTAGTCATGAGTTGCCAAGGCTATGGAAGCCTTTTGAGTTCGCTGACTTCGATCTTATTCCAACAAGGTCATAGTCAAAGTGGAAGTTCTCTCCTCCCTTCAGAGAAAAGTACCTCCTTCTTTGATGGCCCTGTTTTCTTTCTACTGGGATCTCACGCGCAGAGAACTTCCATTTAGGTCTTCTTTTTTTTTGCCAGAGTGTCTTGGCTTTCCATGCCTAAAATACTCTCATGGGCTCTTCAGCCAGATCTGAATGCCTTAAGGGCTGATTCTGAGGCCAGAGATGCACAGGGTTTAATTATCTGGGACTATTTCTCCTCATTGCCTTCCCTTGTCTTTCAGTCCCCACCGAGTAAGCGGAGGAAGCTAGAGAAGCCGCGGAAACCCATTACATTTGTGGTGCTGGAATCTGTGATGAAGGAACTGTCCCTGAAAGCCTCGTCCCTCGGGGCGGAGACGGTGGAAGGCATAGTGGTGGTGACGACCTGGATTGAAAAAATCCTCACCGACCTCAAGGTACCTGGTGAAGCCACCAGCGAAGGCCTCGTGTTGGTCTCCCTTTTTCCTTTTCTGTCTTCTTTGTTCTCAAGGAGTCTGGGGAGAAGAGAAAAGTGAATTCCTGTGAAATGTGTTTTTCCTCAATAGGTGCAGCATAAGCGAGTTCCCTGTGGGAAGGAGGAGGTTAGCCTGTTCCTAACAGCCATAGAAAATTCCTGGATCCATTTAAGGAGGAAGAAAAGAGAGCGCGTGAGACAACTGAGAGAAGTTCCTCGAGCTCCTGAAGATGTCATCCAGGCCTTGGAAGAGAAGAAGTCCACCCCCAGGGAGTCTGGGGGCGGCAGCCAGGACGGGGTGCAGGGCCCTGGGGAGAGTGCCCCAGGTGGGCCTGCTCTGCACGAACGCCAGCCTGCTGCTGCTGGGGGCCATTGCGCAAGCCAGGAGTCACTTTCCCAGGAAGGAAACCCAGAACCCATGGAGGAAGAGCGGAGTGAGGAGAAAGGAGGGCCGGAGGCTGTGGAGAGCTGCAGGGGCTCTGGCCACGGGGCCCAGGACCCAGAGGCTCCTGAGCAGCTGAGCAGCCCTGGGGCTGAGACAGGCAGGCCTCCGCCAGGAGCGGCTGCACAGTACCTGTTTAAGTGTCTCATCAACGTTAAGAAGGAAGTGGGCGATGCCTTAGTTGAAATGCATTGGGTTGAGGGCCAGAACAGGGATTTGATGAACCAGCTGTGCACCTACCTGCGGAACCAGATTCTCAGGCTTGTTGCCAGTTAACTGCAGACTGCGGGTCCAAGTAGAGAGGTGTCTGTGAAGCCTGCTCTGAGAGCCCTGTGGGCTGGCGAGAGGAAACCCAGCTCCGGCTCCCTTAGTAGCCTCATGCGGCATCACCTAAAGAGAAGAAGCCAATTAATCCATTCCCTGGCCCCCACCCCTTTTTTTCTTAAGTTCCAGAGAGCTGTATTGTGGAAGTTCAGGAGGGAGAACTTGCTTATCAGCCACGACAAAAAGCCATCAGGAAACTCAGGAGGGACTTCAAGGAGCCTCCAGCGGGCCACCTCAGCTTTGGACTGTTGTAGTGTCAGGAGAGCATGGGGCGGGCAGGCCCTGGGTCCTCTAGTCCTAGGGCCCCCCCAGGCTGGACCTGCTCACTCTGGCCGATTATCCCTGCAGCTGTCCTAAGAAAGGAGCTGGCGCCGGGTGGGAGGTGAGGGAAGCTGCGGGAGGCAGTCGGTTCCTGGCCCAAGGCCGTCGTGTTGCTCATCAGGAAGCACTGGGTAAGCCGAGCCCGTCCATGTCAGACACCCGCCCAGCGTGCTAGACCCTGCCTCCAGCCTTCAGCCTCCTAAGAGTACTGTTTTGCAGCAGGGCTACTGCTGTCTCGTTTTTGTTTTTAATATAAGAATTCTTGAATCAAGAACTGTCCTTCCTGTGTGAGTCCTGGGCTTGGGAGCCATTTTCTTGGCCTTGCGGGGTAAGTGGCAGGATGATGGAAATGCAAAAGGGGCAAGACCTGTGTGCAGCAGGGAAGTCTCACCCGTGCTGCTGACCAGATGTCGCCCTCTGTGGCTTCACGTGTAGTCTACTCCATGTTTTCCTGCTAGTGTTGGAGAATTCTGTGGCCAGGGTGACTTAAAACCCTTCCCCAGTTGCAGTGCCAGGGTTGAGCAGAGAAGCCTCTGGAAGGAATCTCCTTTTTGTTCTGGCGTGTCAGTAACCCTCTGCCATACTTGACTTTCACAGCTTGATTTTCCTCCAGCAGCTGGGGGTTCTATTCCAGACTAAAACCTCGGCCGAATAGCTAAGCCAGCCCTTGGACAGGCAGCTGTTGGTTAGGGGAGAAAGCAGATGGCCTTGGCGTATCTTGGTGGCAGCCAGATCAGGTACTCAAAAAAGGTATAGAAAATGAAAATATGTTGCCTCCCCATGGCACGGGATCCTGAGCTGAACAGGGCAGTGTGCTCACCGGGCCCACAGACCTCTAGGGCACCCACAAACCTTCTGGAATTACTTCTAAGTGTTCTGTGAGCAGCTGTGTTTTGTTTTTATTCTGGGGAGTGGGACCGCAGCATAGAGCGGATCAGTAACCTGTGAAGGATTAAGAGCCACTGTACTGGTCCAGCTGCTCAGTTGTCAGAACGAGGGACCCAGGGTCAGAGTCACACAGCCAGTGTTCGGGCCAGGGCATTCTCCGATGGGCTGGCCACCACCACCTGACATCACTCTTGAATCAAATGCTGGCCCCTGCCTAGTGTTCTTGATATGATTTGAAGATCTTTGAGTTCCGTGGCACCTGGTCAGCATTCCACAAGTCATCAGTGAGTTCTTGTTTGCTTGTTTATAAAAGAGTAGTGCCTGCTCATTAAAAAAGATTTGGACAAATGGAAACCACAACATAACTGCCCCTGGCCTCAGCTGCTCGGACTGACCGCTCTGGTGTCGCGTCGCCGTGTTTGCTGCCTAGCTTTCTGTGGCTAGGGTTGTGGGTCGTGCGTCGCCTTGGCTGTGCTCCTGCTGTGCCTTCAACTTCCTAGGTGGTGATTGTTTTTTTCATGTAGCATCTTTTTCTATGTGATTGCAGCTAGCATGTTTATTTACACTCCTTGTGTGTTCAGTGTTTCTGGCTTAGAGCTGATCTTTGTTTAGTCTTAGAGGGTCCCAGAGAATGTTCTGTGACTGGAGGCACAAGAGGTGTGTCTGTGCCTGGTATCAATCCCAGGTGGAGGCTTGGTGTCACGGAGGAGGTTTTATAGCTGCTAAGCTGAGGACCTTAGAATGTACAAAGCCCCCTAGGACAAGGGAGGCGTCCCTGGGCTCGGAGGTGCTGGAGCCTGTGTGCTTTCCTTGTGTTTGGAGGTCTCCCTTTCCTCCTGAGAAGAGTCAGATGATCTTGTTGAAAACATCTGCATTCAAAGGACACCTGCCAGCCGGGCTCTGCACAGGCTGCATGAAGGGTGATGTGCAGGGCACCCCTTGTGCAGGAGAGAAGGGGACTCTCCTTCACAGGGGTTACCTGGAGTGGTGCTCTCCTTAAGTCTGGAGGTCAAGTTCTGTTGGTGAATTGGTTGGAAATTAAATCTTTGTGGTGTTGTCTTCAATTCTATTCTGGTCCCTTGACTTGCCTTCTGATCGTTTGATGACTAAAACGGGAGCAGAAGCGCGGCTTGTTTCCGAGGCAAACCAAGGCTGCTTTTGTTCGTTCAAGTCTGCTTTGGAATCTGGTTCTCACCCCGCGTCCTCGCCCCACTCTGGCCACCCCGAGCTTCGTGGCACCTCCTGCAGGGTTGGCAGCCCTGTGGTGAGGTGTCAGCCCATTTTAAGGGTTCCTATTGATTCATATGTATTTCAGAAAACAAAAGCTCTTTTTTCTTAGTGGAAATCAAGGCTTCCTCTGTGAGCACACCAGTTCGTAAACTCTAACAGGAATAATACAAACTGCAAGGTGTGAGAACGACATAAAGGTCCATGGAGAATCTGGGGCCGTCTTTTTTAGGGACTTAATGCGTTTTTGACTAGCTGTGGGAACAGCCCCTCCCTCGTCCTAAGCCACAGCATTTCCATGTACAGCCACATGGGGGCAGCGGTGGCCCTTTTATCCAGCACATTCGCTGTCAGATATAGATAAAATTGTGTCCATGTTTCTTGAAATCCAGTTACTACCCAGATAAGTATTTTTATGTAAACAAGTACATTTTTACATAACTAAAATTTGAAAAATAAAAGTATAAAGAGAAAAACACTACCCATGGTCTTTTTATCCAGAATAATCCCTTTCAACCTTTTAGTTTTGGGGGAGTTTTTTTTGTTTGTTTTTTTTGGTTTTTTTTTGTGGTCCCAGTTGACCATTTTTTCTTTTCCTTCCATCTGTCCTTGGATCAATCATGTGACCAACTCTTTAACGGGGCTAGGGGAGGGGGATGTTAAGTGATTTTTCATATGGTAACTTCTCACAAGCTTTCTGTTCCCCAGGGCACCAGGGAGGAGACTGTTTCCATGTCCCTTGGTCGTTTCTCACCTCGGATGTGCTTGGTTAGCGAGAGCTCTGTACTGTATGCACCATCCAGGCTGGCAAGGCTCTGTCGGCTCATGGAGAGGTTTTATACGCCCTTACTTTTATGGTGCAGGATCAAGTGTTGTGGATCTGCCCATCAGAAAGGAGGAGGTCCAGTTTGGAAAACAAGTCAGGAGCCCTCCAGGAAAGGGGGAGCTCAGAGGTGCAGCAGGGGGTGTCCTGAAGACAGGGCCGTGGCCGCGCAGTTCTTGGGGGAGCCATGCTCTCTGCCTAAGTAGGATGAATGAGCTTCTGCCCACTGGAGCCAGGCTTGGATGGTTGGAGAATCTCATATATTCCATGTCCCCCCACCCCCCCACCCCCTGCACAAATGCCAGCGGAGCATCAGAACCCCCCGCCCGGCAGCAAGGCCTCACGCTCTGTTCTGCTGTGACTCACCCAAATGACTAAAACAGCGGTTTATTTTTTTAATTGCTGGTTGTACAGCTAATGCTGCCTCTCAGAGGCTGTGCTGTACTGCAGGGAGCTGTGTTGTGACTGAGCGCGGGCACAGCGTCTCCCCGCCCCCCTCGTCCAGGCAGGAACACCCAGGCCTCTGAGCTCACTGCAGGGCACCTGGGGGAAAGAGGCGCACAGCAGGAAGCACAGTGGGGCTTGGCGGAAGCCCGGCTTCTTTGTGCTACTCTGAAGCGGGCACAGGCTTTGTAAACCCAAGTCACCTTTCCAGCTGCCCCAGGGGAGTGAAAACCCGGGAAGAGGGCACATGTGGCACTCCCAGACCCCTCCCGGACCCAGTGCAACGGCAGCTGCACCCCTCCCGGAGGGAAAGTCACTGCACTCAGCCTCGGCTCCCTCCTGTCCGCGCCTCTGGGGCCCAGAATGCCTCTCTGAGATTCCAGAAAATCTTAGCAGTGGACTCACATAGGGACTGTCACCTCAGGTATGCGCTGCAGGTACAGGCTACAGGTGGAGAATACCACTCTTTTTAATTTTTAAAAAGATTTATTTATTTATTTGAAAGGCAGACAACAGAGAGGGAGAGACAGATCTTCCATCTGCTGGGTTACACCCAGTGCCTGCAACAGCCAGGACTGAGCCAAGCCAAAGCCGGGAGCCAGGAGTTCCAGCCACATCTCTCACATGGGTAGTAGGAACCCAGGCTCTTGGGACATCATCTGCTGCCTTTCCAGGTGCATTGGTGGGGAGCTGGATTGGAAGGGGAGCAGCCAGGACTCGAACCAGAGCTCCAGAATGGGGCCAGAGTCCCAGGAGGCAGTGCAACCTGCTGTGCCCCAGTGCCAGCCCCACAGTGCCACCTTTTGGCCAAGAACAAAGGTCCAGTTTCTACGTTATGGAGGAAGGAACAGAAAACCAGTGTTATTTGTCTGTCTTCTATGTAGATTGTCTCATTCAGCAGCCCTGGGAGGTGATGGACCGGTGTCCCGTGTGACACTGAAGGGAATGGAAGCTCAGAGAGCCTAACCGGCTCCAGGGTTATCCACAGAGCTGAATCGTGGAAGTGGGACTTGAATTCACGTCCGAGAAGCTGAGACTGGGCTCTTGTGTCAGATCTCGAAAGCCAGTGCCCAGGGCTGCAGGTGCGCTCGGCCTGCCATGCTTTGGTGAACCTGTGGGGAAGGCAGCATCAGGGAGATGACACAGGGATGAGAAAAGGCAGCTCCTCCCAGCGTCACAATTTTGCATTTCCATATTTGCTAGCTACGATCAATGCGTGAGATGTAGTAAGTGAAATTACTTATAATTACTTCTTAATTTATGCTACCAAATCTTCCTAGAATCTTGTATTTGGCAGTAGTGCAGATAATTAAGTAGTTAATGAAACCACGAAATAAAATGTCTAGTGAGAGCACATGTTGGACCAGAATCAGTGTGAAATAACTGATAATTAGGTAATGACTCTGACAATACATAATTGTATGATAATGGAAGAGAGGTCTGATTCTTTTTTTAATAAGGCAGCTCCAAATATTTTACTTAGAGAACACCACTGAATTGATGTGCTTTTTGAGCTGGTGGAGGAGGTAGCGATTGTCAGACAAAAAGCAAGACCCCTTCCCCAGGTAGGGCGTGTAAAGCTGGGAGACACAAGGCTGCCTGGAAGTTCCCGGCTGCAGCAGCTGTGGGCTCCCAGGGAGGTAGCATCCAGCGCTGCTGCTGTCCAGGAAGGCAGCCTGGAGCCCGCTGCTGAGCCGGACGTCTGCGTCTGCCCTCTGGGACGGCGGGGGAGGCAGGGGCCCACCCCCCACGCCCGCTTGCCACTGATACACTTGCTCTCTCCTAGCAGAGAGGGGTCCCAGTCTGGTCCGCATAGGGTCCTTCCTTCAGACGTGGCTGTCCCAGGACTCCGGCCTTCAGGGCCAAGCGGGAGTGCCTTGTAGGGCCTGGCTGGGAGTTCAGTGAGCTCTGGACCAGCACACATGAGGGCTGTGTGTTCACAGAGGGACTGGGCAAGAAGAGTGGTGGAGTCGCTCTAGTCAACGCTGCTGGTTATGACCAGGCTGGAGTAGTTGTCCAGTGTTGTTGTCATCTCAATTTTTGAGGGAAGTCATAAGTCCAGATTTCTGAGAAATTTACTTACTTATGAATCCTGAAAAGTAATTCACTATCAAAGAAAAAGGTGAAGCATCAGTTTGAGAGCTCCCCTTCCAGCAGGCGGCAGGACTATCCGGGCCTTGCTGCCTCCCCTTCACTAGGCTCCTGAGCCTTCCCTCTCCATGGGCCTCCCACTTGGGTCTCCCCCTTCTGGCTGTGTCCACTCTCCCAAACCCAGACCCTTCCTCAACCTCCAGGCACCCACTGGTCATCTCCTCTGGACCAACATCCACACTAGCTTCTTTGTGATCCGTCCGCCCCGCCCTCCCTTTCACCACCACGCACAACAGAAGTCTTCAGGAAATCCTTTGGGTTCCACCTTGATGACCTCTATGTGGGGGACCCTCTGTGATGGCCGGTGGTGCGCTGCGCTGATCCAAAGCCAGGAGCCAGGTGCTTCCTCCTGGTCTCCCATGGGGTGCAGGGCCCAAGCACTTGGGCCATCCTCCACTGCCTTCCCGGGCCATAGCAGAGAGCTGGACAGGAAGAGGAGCAACCAGGACAGAATCTGGCGCCCCAACCGGGACTAGAACCCGGGGTGCCGGCGCCGCAAGGCGGAGGATTAGCCTAGTGAGCCGGTGCACCGGCCGGGAAGACCTTTCTCTCTGTCTCTCCAACTTTAAAAGATTTTTTATTTGAAAGGCAGAGTTACAGAGAGACAGAGACAGAGAGAAGTCTTCTATCCACTGACTTCCCACATAGCCGCAATAGCCAGAGCTGTGCCATTCGGGAGCCAGGAGCTTCTTCTGGGTCTCACTTACGGGTGCAGGGGCCCAAGGAGTTCGGCCATCTTCCCCTGGTTTCCCAGGCCATAGCAGAGAGCTGCATCAGAAGTGGAGCAGCCGGGACTTGAACTGGTGTCCATGTGGGATGCCGGCACTGCAGGCAGAGGCTTTGCCCAGTACGCCGCAGCGCTGGCGTCTGTGATGACATTTTGTGGTCATAAGCTAATGCTGACTCTGAGCACATGGGATGATGTGGAGGACAGGAAGCTCACTGCCCGCGGGCCTGGCACTCCTGTTCGGTGGCTTAGCCTCCCTGCTTTCCTGATGAAGTCTTCACTCAGGCACCTGTTTCGAGACTTTGTGGCGTCTCATGATTGTAAGTAATACTTTGGTGAATATCTTTGTATAAAAAGCTTTACACATTTTTCTTGCTGTTTTAGGATAAACTGGTAAGAGAAATCCTGAGGCAGAGGATCTGAGTCTCCCCCAGGGCCACCGGCCGGGTTCCCCTCCCCAGAGTGCCTGTTTTCGCCATACCTTCGCTCGCTCTGTGAGGCTGGGTTCTCAGAAATTCTTTGCCAATTGGTAGGCAAGAAATTATTTCACAGTTTGAATTGCATTATGGTATCAGCAAGGTCAAACATCTCCTTGTATTTATATATTGGTATGTCATCTTTAGTACTTCATATATTTCTGTTTTGTCAATTTAAAATCTGTGGCCGCTGCTTTTCTCCCACGGGTTTTGTTCGGCCACATGCAGGGCCGACTTGCCAGGACTTCCCCCATGGTGGCCTTGTGCGCCTCCCCTCCCCCTTCGTCATGATGTTAGTTTGTACATTTAGAACTTCAGAGGTGATCAGAGCTCTCACGCTGTGCCTTCCCACGTCCTTTGTTTGCATCTATGGATAGAACTGCTTACCGCCCTAGAGTGGGAAACCAAAACGGTTTGCCTGTATCTGGCTAATTGTGATGAGTTATTCTTGTTTGTTTGTTTGTTTTTTTGTTTTTTGTTTTTTTTTTTTTTGACAGGCAGAGTGGACAGTGAGAGAGAGAGACAGAGAGAAAGGTCCTCCTTTGCCGTTGGTTCACCTTCCAATGGCCGCCGCGGCCAGCACGCTGCGGCCGGCACACTGCTGATCCGATGGCAGGAGCCAGGTACTTATCCTGGTCTCCCATGCGGGTGCAGGGCCCAAGGACTTGGGCCATCCTCCACTGCACTCCCTGGCCACAGCAGAGAGCTGGCCTGGAAGAGGGGCAACCAGGACAGAATCCGGCGCCCCGACCGGGACTAGAACCCTGTGTGCCGGTGCCGCAAGGCGGAGGATTAGCCTAGTGAGCCACGGCGCCGGCCCGGTTTTGTTTTTTACAATCAGCATTTGAATGACGCCG